TCGCCTCTTTCTATGGTTTACCTACATTGTATTATAAATACCTTGTGCACTTGCAATACCTTTTTAAGAAGTACATAGTTAAGAACTTTTTAAAAAATGTATTTAGTACAGGGTCTTGCTACACAGATCAGGCTCGTAGTGATCCGCCTGCTTACAGCCTCCCAAAGCTGGGATTACAGGCACGCACCACCACGTCCAGTCTCAATGGCCATCTCAGCGCACCCCAGGGGCTGAACCAGCACAGTAGGCCTGGGGATCAAACCCCTAGCCCCTGTACCTGCTTGCAAGCACTTCAATCCACTGAGCTATTTGGCAGGCCCAACACCTTTATAATATATCATCTTTATAATAACAAAACAGAGGAAAGCACCACAAATATTCAACAGTGAAGTTATTAAAGGAAATATGGTGCATTCTATAGTAGGCTTCTATTCAAGTGTTAACGTATTTTTTTAAACGAAGATTTTTAAGTTGACAAAAATATAGGAGCTTGAACTCATTTCTGAAGTGCACAAATAGGTATACAGGTACGTTCATAACCCTATGTGTGGATGTATTTTTTAAACCCCAAAGTCAATGTGAATCAGCTGCGGCCATCTCCAGGTATGCAACTTACAATCCATTTCTTCAGGTTCTGGGCTCCTTAGTGAGATATACGCTCTAGGTACATGTCGTTGTTTTATTTGAAATTAAGTTTAAAAAGTAACTCTTGGTCAAGCTACCAGCCCTGAGGTGCTCAGAACCCCATGAGACACGGGACAGGGCTTGCACCACGGCCACTGGGGGGGGGGTCTGGTTCTGTTGCCCAGGGCTGCTCCAAGAGCTCCAAGCTCTGAAACAGGTTCTGAGTCCCTGGCTTTCTCCACCCTGCAGCCAGCTTCTCATGTGCATCTACCTTCTCCTCCTTAATGAGGAGGACTCAACTGTTTTCCTCAGACACATTGTAACTGCCACAGGGTGGCAGAGCAAGGATTGCCCTCTTGCCGTGGCTCTAGCAGTGATTAGCCAGCTCTCTGATAATCCTATGAAGACAGGCTCACTCTGATTTAATAACCTCACACAGAGTCCTCTTTCTCACAGGAGGGACAGTTCCAACCAGAACACTTCCACAACACTATTGTGTGTGAGAAACCCAACAACCACCTCAACAAATTTAAGGGTTACATGTAAGTATCAAACATCTCTTTACTGATAGTAAACATCTCCTGTGCAGCTAAGAAAATGTTTTCTTGAAATGACCAGACAAGCATCTAGATCCTGAGAGTTGCTTTTTACTATAAAGAAGGTCTAGAGATCTCTAAGTTGGGCAATAGGTTGTTTTCCTCTTCTTTTGTGTTGTTGTTCTGAGTGACTGTTAATCATTTGTCAGGCTTAAGCACACTAGTGGTTTATTTGGAACTTTGGTAAAATAGCATCAGAATTAAGGCCATGCTCTGAGTCAGGAGAGGAAAATGTTTTAGCTAAGATGGGTCTTGTGAAAGAGACAGGACTGACGTGGGGGACTTTAGAGTTGACAGAGCTGGGCTTGAACCAGAGTTCTTCTAATCTTAAGCTGTGTGAGCTTAAGCGAAGTGATTACCTTCTCTGTTGCCACATCTGTAAAATAAGGATCATAGTAAGATTCT